GAGTCACAGGATTGTACAGCCACATCCGTGGGCGCCGCCGCCTTCCGCCTTCTGCCAGGCACAGCTGGCGCCACGAGGTCAAGACAAACGGCGAGATGACAAGGTGACGGGACGAAAGCGGAAGAACCTCGTAGACGAACAGCAGCAGCCCATGCCAGGCCGAGAGCGAAAACCACCCCCCAGGGACTCTCCACCTTGGTGATTCCTGGATGATGCCGGCAACGTGGTGTTTATGACTGAAGCCTGTATTGTACTTTTTCTTCGTCGTTGGACTTTTCTGCAAAGATGTTGACCAAACCAAGCTCTGTTTTCAACGGTCGCCACGGCTCCAATCATCGTCCGCTCTTGTCCGCTGGGCGATGGCCACATTCATGCGTGAGTAACCTAACTAGGCTAGTTACGACTTCCGTTTTGGGATCGCTTCCCGTTCGTAAGCCCCTTCCTTATTCCTAAGTATCTCAACATCATCATCACCGCAAGATCCAGCGGCTTCAGATCATTGCTATGGCGCAAGCTGCTGGCACCCCGCTCAAAGCGAAATGAGGGGAAGAAAAGAGTCAAAGTCTGGGGAGCTGGAGTCAGAGTCCCTGTCCTTTCGTCTTGCGGTTTCTCGTTTTCGCCGTGTCGCCTTGTCCTATGGTCACATATGTTGGTGAGCTCTTCTCCTCTTTCTGTCCCTGGCTGTGTCGGCCCTTTTTCTTTGCCTCCTCGCCCTTCTGGGCCACTTTTTCACCTCTCACTTGCATCGTGCATCTGCTCCGAGGCTACGTTCCCCGCCCCTCCTTGCTTGGCAGAAGGCGGCGTGGGCGGGTAGACGAGGATCCCGGTGGGCGTGCACCGAACTGCCGAAAGATGACTAATCCTCGCTGATTCGGTGTGGCCATACCGAATTTTGCTAAAACTCGGTATTCGGCGTGCTGAAACCGAGCCCCCAGGCACAGGTTCGCGCTAACTTCTCAGTGATTTGGAGAAGGAGCTCCACGAGGCTGAACCTTGCCCCCACTTTGCGCCTTCTTTTCTTTCATCGCATTGTTTTGCCAGGTCCGCCTCGTCGTTCCGAAGCCCCTCGCTCCTCATCCATTCATGGAATTTATCGCCTCCGTCCACCTTCGCGTGCTTCGGGCCCTGCCAGCGAAGCTGCACCGAGGCATGAGGTCCTCGCGACCTAAGATGCCGTCTGCTGAGTACGAGGACCCCCACCAGGCCAGGCCAACCAGCGAGCCAGCTCACATCAGAGGTGCAAACTGGTGCGCACCTCCAAACTCGCAACTGGAGACGAAAAGATGGAGAACGGGCAGCTCGGCCTTCTCACATGATCGGCGCTGCAGACCAAGTCATCTTTGGAGTCTGCAGAGAATGGCGAAGTATGAGTTGTGGAGAAACACGAGGATGAGAGGATGAGAATGGAGACAAGATGGCCAGCTCCGACCAGTTTGGGGCAGCACGGGACGTTCTCCTGTACCCGTGGGAGGCGAAGACGGCAAGCCGTGCAACTCGTGTCGGGGAGATTAGACGATGGTTTGTTTTTGCTGCCGTCATTTCGCCTGCGCCAGAAGCCACCCCGACATCGCCAATCATCAGACGAGAGTGGTGCCGTTTTGCGTCTGATTTTTCCTTTTTTTCTTCTCGTTTTCTTTCTTTTAATATTATTTTTGGGCCTGATTGAGTCCTTTGTTGGCGTCACTACGTCAGGGCAATTATCTGCGCGTCCCGTATGTCGCTCACTCGTCCCTACATTCGCCCGCCAAAGAGGGCCCAGACGGCCGTCATTTCTCCGTCTGGATCGACTAGTGCGCCTTACACGCTCACAGCACTACCCGACCATACCCAACTCCCCATACAAAATAGCCCCCAGGCATCTTCCCATCTTGTTGCACGCCGGCCATAGATCCGCCGGGACATGTGTCTGGGCCTTCTTTTTGCCATTTTATCCTGCTGATTGGTTCGTGAGGTCTTTTTGAGACGTTTGCATTTATTGCCCGTTTGGGACGGACCCATCTTCGTTTTCACATATCTTGAAACTGCCTCCCTGTCTTTTCTTTTCTTGTTTTGTTTCCTGTTTCCTTTTCTCTTCTTCGTGTTTCCAACGACGACATATTCGAGCGATACCCCAATACAGCGGAACAGACTAGAAATAAATACTGCGACCCGGCAAGACAGCAGGACAATAATTACTGCAACACGCCAGCGCTCGGCATCGACTTCGACCTCGGCTGGAATATCAACATCGACGTCGATCAGGACTGACGACGTCCTGCCGCTCTCGCCCTCCCTCCTTCTCCCACCTCCTCCTCCTCCACCACCGGCTCTCACAACATGGCGTGGCGCCTCCCCCGCGTCCGGCGGCCACTGCTCGTCTCGGCCGCCGCTGTTGGTGCCGTCGTCACTGGCGGCACTCTAGTCTATGCCACCACCAAGAGCCGCGGTGCACCGCGTGTCGCCATGCCCATCGTCCCCGTCCAGCGTGATGCCCGCGGCAGCATCCAGCCGCCTTCCTTCCGGTCCGCCAAGTCCCGTGCCGAGCAGATTGCCGACCTGCGCGCATCACAACCTCAACCCACCGACTCCTCACTACCACATTCTTCTGATTCTACCTCCTCCTCCTCATCACGGCCCGAATACGATCTCTTGATTATCGGTGGCGGCGCCACCGGCACCGGCATTGCCCTCGACGCTGCCACCCGTGGCCTCAAGGTCGCCCTTGTCGAACGCGATGACTTCTCGGCCGGCACGAGCTCCAAGAGCACCAAGCTCGTCCACGGCGGTGTGCGGTACCTCGAAAAGGCCGTCTGGAACCTCGACTACGGCCAGCTGGAGCTGGTCATTGAGGCCCTCGGCGAGCGCAAGACGTTCCTCGAGATTGCACCGCATCTCTCCAGCCAGCTGCCCATCCTTCTGCCCCTGCAGCACTGGTGGCAGGTGCCCTACTTCTGGGCTGGCACCAAGGCCTACGACCTGCTGAGCGGCTCCCAGGGCCTGGACGGCTCGTACTGGATCAGCAAGTCCAAGGCCATGCAAAAGTTTCCCCTGCTCAACGCCGGCCACATTGTCGGCGGCCTGGTCTACTACGACGGCCAGCAAAACGATGCCCGCACCAACGTGTCCCTGGCCCTGACGGCCATGCTCTACGGTGCCACCGTCGTCAACCACGTCGAGGTAACGAGCCTCGAGAAGGATGCCTCCGGCCGCATCATTGGCGCGCGCGTTCGTGATATCCTGGACGACAGCAACTCAGACGACGCTTCGTTCTCGATCCGCGCCAAAGGTGTCATCAACGCCACCGGCCCCTTCTCCGACGGCATTGAGCACATGGACAACCCCACGAAGCCCGAGATGATCTCGCCCTCGTCCGGTGCCCACATCATCCTGCCCGGTAACATCTGCCCCAGCGGCATGGGCCTGCTGGATGCGTCCACCTCGGACGGCCGCGTCGTCTTCGTGCTTCCCTGGGAGGGCCGCACCCTGGCCGGCACCACCGACAGCCCGTGTGCCATCGAACGCAGCCCCGAAGCCACCTCCGACGACGTCAATTTCATCCTGACGGAGGTCCGCAAGCTCGTCTCGCCCGACGCTCCGCTCTCGCACAAAGACATCCTGTCCACCTGGTCCGGCATCCGCCCGCTCGTCAAGAACCCGCACTCCAAGAACACCGAATCGCTGGTCCGCAGCCACCTTGTGACCGTTTCGCCCTCGGGCCTGCTGACCTGCGCCGGCGGCAAGTGGACCACCTACCGCCAGATGGCTCAGGACGCCGTTGACGACGCCATCCGTGCCTTCCACCTGACCCCTGCCCGCGGTGTCGCCCTCGAGGCCATTGGCGCCACCACCACCTCGTTCACGCCCGCCGCCACCACGGGCGCCTGCGTCACCAAGTCCATTCCCCTGATCGGCGCCCACGGCTTCTCCCCTGCTCTCCCTGCTCAGCTCGCCGAGGTGTACCCCAGTGTCGACGCCGATGTCGTGCAGCATCTCGCCGCCAACTACGGCGATCGCGCCTGGACCATTCTTGCGTCGGAGTCCGCGGCCGCCTCCCCCTCGCCGCGCCTGATCCCGTCATTCCCCATCACAGAGGCCGAGATCCGCTACGGTGTTCGTAACGAGTCCGCATGCACCGCCGTCGACGTCCTCGCCCGCCGTACCCGCCTCGCATTCGTGGACGTCCAGGCCGCCCACGAAGCCCTCCCCCGCGTCATTTCCATCCTCGGAGACGAGCTCAAGTGGTCCGACGCTGTGCGGGCGCGGGAGTTTGAGCAATCCGTGGCCTATCTGAAGAGCATGGGTCTGGAGCAGGTGCGGACGGCCAATGCCGCCACGGCCTCGCAAACGCAGGCCGTCCAGGAGAGTGTGCGCAAGCCTGCCTCGGCACCGGCTGTCGACTGGGACGTTGAGAAGACGGGCACGAAAGTTGCCGGCACATTATAAATTCGCGGAGATGAGAGACGATTTGAAGTTTTAAAACTCAAGGGCTGTGGTTTATAACGGTTTCCATTTTCTGATTTTCCCAATCTGCCTTGCATATCTTCCACCAGCATTTTTCCCCCCGTTTTTTGTACTTGGTATTGTACTTTTTATTTCATTTTTCGACCTGTTTCATGTTGCTATACTCCATGTCTCTTGCTTTTCATAACACTTTACAATAGACGACGAAAGACGGCCACTGGTTTTATAGAAATAACCTGCCACAAATTTATACATGCAAATTTTACATGCATATGGTTCCTATGACGTACTGCGACAGCGCCAGACGCAAAAATTACCGAAAACGGTGTAGGTAGCGAAGAGTAACCCTTATAAATTGTTTCCCTATAAATCGTACAACTTCTTGAGCGGTTCTTCCTATGTCGCCCGCCCCCCCCCCCTCCACGATAGCGGCACTGTCTTCGACTTGCCAGAATTCTCAAGACCGCTCAGGCCATGCGTAGAAGTTCGCCTATAAAGAGCTCGTCCTCCACTTCACTCGTGAGCGCCCGCCCATCTCGGCGAAGAAGAGGTCGCCCTAGATGAAGGAGAACGCGGCCGCCGAGAAAAAGGCGCCGCCAAGACGCGACACCCCCGCGGTCATGATTGGCCGTCAACGCCTGCGGAACCACGTCTTCCGTGGCGCCCGAAGAGCTGCTTAACCGAAAGCCAGCCCAGACGTGGCCAACAACCCAGCCAAGGACCGAGCCTACGATCCAATCCTCAACAAATTGCAAACCCAGCCCGAAACTGGCAGCCCGGGCCGACGATGGCTGGCTGCACGTCGACCTCGCGCGCTCAAAGCCACCGACGGTCTGCGGCTACCCGGGCGCTTCGACGTTGAACCACGGCGGCGGAGCAATGCCGTGGGGCCGCACTTGGGTACCGCAGAGCGTCAAAATGCATAGCGGTGGGACGACAGAGTCTGCATATAAAGACGAGTTAATAGTCGACGTACCTCCCAATATCTCATACTATTCACAACGCCCACCATGTAGCGCCCAGAGCGTAAAGAGCATCCCAAGACCCCCAAGACACAATGTACCCCGTTCCCCGCTCTGCCGAGTCATACTCAGCTATATCGACAATTTATTTTTGTGGACATCTCGTCTCGACCTCGGTCAAATGTCTGCAAGGCAAGGCTCCCAATGCGACGTTATAAATCCAATGCAGTCATGTGCCGTGGTCGCTGACCCGTCCCCCAGAACAAGCTTAATCTCAGTCATTTGCTGCGCTGCACCGGGTATTACGTCCAGGTACCGGTTGGCGGGCCGTGGTATGACTTGGCTGCGCAATCAAATAAAACCAACGTGCCTGCCAAGGGCTGGCCAGGTCCATGCCTAAATCAATATGGCAAGTCGGATGAGCAGATTGCATTGGCGGTCAACAAAAAGGGGAGGAGGGGGGGGAGGGCGAGAAGGAGAGAGACTGGGGGCTTCATGTAAATCGAAAGTAAATTATAATCATCTTATATACGACGATGTGCTCCTCGGCCACTTGACGTCTGTCGGGAGCTCCTGAAACCACATCCCGTGGCACCTTTTACAACTTTGTTCTTGTCATATCCCATTTCAAGTCGCAAGCAACACGATGGCCATCTCTCTTTCCGTCACGCTGGTCGGCCTGCTGGCCTCGCTGGCTGCAGGTGCCGCCACGGGTGCTCTGGCGGGCGAGGAGCATCCCGCTATCGCAACGTGGAGGTGCACCTCCGCGGGCGGCTGCGTGCAGCAAAACACCAGCATCGTGCTCGACCGCGACTCCAAGCTCGCCGTGGGCACCGCCGGCTCGCGTTCTGCCGCCGACTACGCCGCCATGGGCGTCACCACGTCTGGCAACGCGCTGACGCTGCACCACTACGTCAATGGCCAGTCGGCATCGCCGCGTGTCTACCTGCTCGACAGCAGCACAAACAAGTACGTGCTCATGAACCTGCAGAACAACCAGGAGCTGTCCGTCGACGTCGACCTGTCGTCGCTGCCCTGCGGCGAGAACGGCGCCTTTTATCTGTCGGAGATGGCGGCCGATGGCAGCGGCGGCACGGGCGGTGCGGGCGCCGGCGCGGCGGGCGGGTATGGCTACTGCGACGCGCAGTGCCAGGGCTTCTGCTGCAACGAGATGGACATTCTCGAGGCGAACTCGCAGGCCACGGCCATGACGCCGCACCCGTGCAAGGGCAGCAACTGCGACAAGGGCGGCTGCGGGTACAACCCCTATGCGAGCGGGCAGCGCAACTTCTGGGGGCCCGGCAAGACGGTCGACACGGGCAAGGTGTTCACGGTGGTGACGCAGTTTGTGGCGTCGGGCGGCAGGCTCACGTCCATCACGCGCAAGTACATTCAGGGCGGACGCCAGATCGACGGTGGCGGCACCATCAGCAGCTGCGGCTCCGAGGGCGGCACGGGCGGTCTGCCTGGCATGGGCGAGGCTCTCGGGCGAGGCAGTAAGTCGTTCATCTCACCCCTTTTCGATATTGAAATCCTCCTACTCACACAAGTAGTGGTCCTTGCTATGAGCATCTGGAACGACGGCGCACAGCAAATGTCCTGGCTCGACCAGGGAAACAACGGTCCTTGTGCCGCTGGCCAGGGCACCCCGTCCAACATCCAGTCGCAGCACCCAGATACCCACGTCGTCTTCTCCAACATCCGCTGGGGCGACATTGGCACGACCACCAAGCAGTAGAGGACAAAAGGTAAAAGGGTTCTTCAAAGTGGCGGTGGACTGCTGGGTCATTTGTTCGGCCAGCTGTCGTGGTAGGGCGAGCAGTATCATCCCGAGACCAAAAAGAAAAAAAAAAAAGAGTAAAAATATAAACCAAGTAGATGACCAAGAGACATGACGAATCAAGAACTGTTGAATTGATGAGAAGCCATTGAATGTTGGCTGGCATAACATAATCTGCATAACTTCGTTGCAAAATAGATCCGTAGACGCAGAAAAAGACGGAATGAGCACAAAAACAAGAAAAAAAGACAAAACCCAAAGCGCCGTAAATTGCACTAGAAAGCAGAATCCAACCCAAGACCAAATTTCACCGTTTCAATGACGCGCAAGCCAGACCCAGACAGCAGAACCGACGATATAAGAGATATATGGCAAAAGGAAACCCCAAAACCCGTGGGAGCCAGAAATTAAGAATGGTATAAAACGATAAAAGGCAAGAGGAACAAAGGCAGGAAAGGCAAGACAGTTAAGGAGAGTAGGGATCGTCCGTTGTCTCTACAGGTCGCCATCCTTTTGGCTGCCGCTCTCCCACAGCTGGAAGCTCTCGCCAGTACCGTCTATTGGCTCCAACAGAGCGGCCTCACAGGCAGGGCTCTCCCGGTTCGTCATAATGTCCTCGACGTTGGTCGTCTCCTCCACAGCGACGGCCTCGGACTCAGTGGCCTCGGCCGTGGCAGCCTCAGCAACCTCAGACACCGTCTCCGCAGAAGCCTCGACAGCGACTGTGGTAGCGGCAGCGGCAACAGCATCAATGCTCTGGGCAAGCTGCTGCTGCTGCTGCTGCTCCTCCTCCCCCTCGGGCTCGTCCGATGCCACCAGAACGACCGACGCCTCGTCACAGCCATCAGCGTAGTAGTCAGCCGCATTGAGCTGCGACAGCGGGTTGCGTGCCTTGTCCACGGACATCTCATCCGTGTTGGCTGTGGCTGAGGCAGCTTCGGCACGGGCGGCACTGGTCTGGCTCACATCGTTGGGCGGGGGGATGTTCTCCTTGTCTCGGCCCTCGGCGCGCTCGCGGCGTGCCTTTAGCTCCGACTCCTCGTCGCTGCTAATGTCCAGGACACAGGTGCTGTGCTGCAGCAGGTTGGTCATTTCCTGCTCTGGCGTGTCCTCGTGAATGTCAAAGAACCATGACGTGCTCATGCCGGAGGCGTCGTCCAGGGGCGACAGACTGGGCGGGACAAGAGCCGACGAGGCCAGGCGCGTGTCAAACGACGAGAAAGTGCCCTTTAGGGCGGCGTCAAGCGAGAAGGGTGCGGCAGAGCCAAAGTTGGCGGCACCGGCAGCTGTGGGTGACGAGCGGCTCAGATTGGAGGCGGCACGGCGCTTGCTGGTGAGAAGACCGCCACGGCGAGATGCGCGGATGGGGCTGCGGCCGGACAGGGACGAGGACAGAGACGAGGACAGAGACGAGCCAATCGGTGAGCTCGACATGCGAATGGGGCTGGTGTTGATCTTCATGGTCGAAGACTTGGCGGAAGGGCCCCGGGGTTTGAGCATGGCGCGGGGCGAAGACGAGAGTGGCGACGACTTGACGTCGAAGATTTTGGCAACAGACGACACGTTCATGTTGGCCTTGGTGAGCGTAAAAGCCGGTTTCTTGAGCATGCCGCCGGCGGCCGGAGCTGAGCCATCGGTGCCCTTGGAACGCTTGGCCGACAGTTGCGGGTCAACGTTCTCAACGTCCTCGGCCTCGGTCCACGTCGGGGCCTTTCTCTTGGAAGCGAGTGACTGAGCAGCTGGTGATTGTTAGTTTGACGTGCCAACATACGAATGCAGATATGCAGGTAGAACGCGTCTCGAGCGTACCATTCTGTCTGTTCTTTGTGCTCGTCAGAGCCTGAAGCCGAGCCCCGTCGAGGGGAGCAAACGGCTGCCGAGCAATCGTCGCCATTGTGTCGAGTTGGTGATAAAAGAGTGAAGAGACAATAACGGTGACAATTTCGTGCCGAGGTCGGGTTGACGAGTTGTGACTAGAATGACGCTGGACCGGTCAAGAGATGTCGATTTCGAGAGTTGAGATATGCTTCACGTCGAGGATAAAGCACGTTATGAATAAAGTTGTCGTCGACGAAAGGGAGAGAGCCGTGCAAGCACAAAGGAATGCAAAGGAAAGGGAGAAAGGTTAGGAAATAAAGTGCAAAAGAGGAAAAGACCAGAGTAAGAAAAGAATAAGAGTAAGAGACAGGCAATAGAGATGGGGCTTCAAGGGCATATGGGACAGAGGGAGGACTAAAGGGAAGGAGAGGGGGAAGAAGGGGAGACGAGGGAGGAAAGGGGGAAGGAAGGACTGGCGACGAGAGGAACGAGGGCGTCAAGAGGGCGTCGCGTGTTGGCGTCCAAAATTTGACAGTGGTGGCAGCACTTGGCCGGCGTCTTGGGCCCATGAATGAGCCAAATCGGCCAGAGCCTGGAATAGTGGAACTTGCTACTTCCTGGGCAATGACTGCTCAATCGGCAAGAGCGTACGAATGAATGGGGCCCGGGACCTTGCTCTGGGTTTTGGCCTGCCTGGGGCCAAGTTCGTTCCGCGCCTTGCCAAACCAATAAGGAAAGAGTGATGCATGGCACCTGCTCATGAGGGACTGGTACGCCAGCATTGTGAGCACTACGAATACGGAAAGATCTTTCGACGATGGCTGCTGGCAGAGGCAGGAGCAATGGCAGAATCAGGCAATGACGAGACGAAAAGTGCAGCAGGAGCTCTGACGTGACAGGAAAGTGACATGGGCAGAAGCGGAGAAGCTTATAAACAATCTCAAGAGCCTCAGACAATAATCAACGTCTCTCATCCAGTAAACTTGCAGCGGCGAGGCATGCCTGAAGTCTCTGGCAAGCATGAGAAGCGGAGGCATTCGTTGCATGGACGAAGAAGCGCCTTCCTGCAGGTCTTTGTAAGAGGTCGAACATCGGGGCGAAGCCAGAAAAGTAGAAGCAGAGATGAAATCAAAGCTCGACGCGCTCGGACTCGATGATCGAACCACAGAAAAATACCTTACGATCGGTGGACTGCCCCGCCGTACTTGAAGTACAAGGTCGAGCCGTTTGCTAATCGACGGAAGAGCTTCCCAGGCGAGGAACAAGGAAGCTCGGAGGGCAAGCAGGCAAAGACGGACGCAAGGGATGGCTCAGGTCTCACGTAGACAAAAAGAGGGGAGAATTCAATTTACGAAAGTACGACTTGAGTCCTGCGCTGCTGCGTTGGCGAACGGTCGCGCTGCCAGGCGACCTCCAGAACCTGTCGAACCTGTCTGTGTGCCATGTTCCGTATGCCCATTTTTGCACTTTGAGGCCCCCTTTGTGTCATTCGAGGCCACAACGCTGCCCTTCCATTCGCTGGCCCAAATTGGGACCAGCATTAGTGCTAAAATGCTTGCAGGACCAAAGGACATCAATGAGCCAATCAGAGCGCGTGGTGTCCAATTACAGCCAATCAGCGCGTGTCCTTGTGTGTCTCGCTCAACCACAGACTCCACTATTCTACCCGTCCCGTAGCCTGCTCTGACTGGCTCCAGGTGTACTGAGAGACTCCGCCCGGCATCGAACGCGTCGTGCTACATTCTGACCCTGTTTATGGGTTTTGTGCCTCGCGTCAGCTGAACTGGGTGGAGGGAGATACAGGGTACGACGAGCACTTGCAACCAAGCACTTGCAACCAGATTGGTCGCAGGAAAGCACAGTACAAGTATGGAGTACATGATGACGAAACAGAGCATGTGGAAAGTCATTGATTCATTGATCATGAAGTTCTGTCAGGTCGCAACCGAAAAATGATGCATGGAAATGATACGCTGCGCTGGACCACCAGTTAAAACGCCTCAGAAACAACCACAAAAGAAGAAACAAGGCAAGCAAGGACAAGAAACCGCCTCCATGCAACCAGACTGCGGCCAAAATGAGGGCAGGGCCTGAAGCAGGGCAGCAGGACTCGAAGCCCAACCAACAGAAGTGAGCAGAGCGCCCGGATGGAACTGGGCGAATGAAGAACACGAAAGTCTGCGCAGTGCCGATCCGAGATGAAGAACCGGGCAAAGAATGAAACCAACAAACAAAGAAGAGGCCCCGAACGATTCAAAACGCTCGGAAGGGAATAGGGGGAAGGAGAAAAGAAAAGGCACGTCAGACAAGACTAACAAGCTCTAGCTGCCTTGCAAAAGCAGCACCGGCAACCCAAAGGCCGATCAGGGCAGATACAAAAAAAAAAAAAAAAAAAATCGCAGAAACACGGGAGAGTGTCCTCCAGGAGATCATGAGCGCTAACGTGCATTCCAGCCAGCTGCGGCCTGAAATTGCGAAAGAAGGGGGGCAAAAGAGCAAAGGGACACCCTGCTGAAAGACTTCATTCAACACCTTACGCCAGCGCCGGACGCATATTCAGCCTTGAAATGTCGATTGCGGCAGCACGTGTGTGCAGTCGGTCATGTTGTTGATGTTGTAGACACCCAGCAAGCTCATCCGGAGATATTCTGACCCAAAGGCCTACGGCAAAAAGGTACAAGCGTTAGCTGCGTCGCCGACAACGAAAGAGGCAAACGGGAAGGAAGGCAAGTAATACGCACCGTCTGCCATGTCGACCGCCCGGCCTGGGTCCCAAAGAACTGAAACGACGAAGCCGCACCCGCAGACTGCGCCAGCGCCACGTCGCTCGGGAAACGATAGACGCCCGCCGGTGCCGTGGCGGCGAGTGTCGTGCTGTAGTACAGGTTGTCCCACACGCCTGGCGTCGGGTCCTGACTGGCCCCCGCCTGGGCCGGTGCCATGCTAAACTGCTGGCTCACCGTGTGCGCCCCAATCAAGGCGGCCAGCCCGCCCGGCGAGATCGTCTTGGCCGCAAACAAGGCGGCAATCGTATCGGCTCCGCTGGTCGGGTCCGGGAGCATGTTGTCCGGCGCCGCATTCGTGTTGTCGGCGCGGCCCACGTAAAACCGCATGCGGGGGCCGCCAGGGCAGGCCGTCACGGCCGTCATGGCACCTAGCTGGATCAGATCGGCCATGGACGCGCCGTGCTGGTGGTACCGCTCGTACCATGCCCATGTCTGATTGGCAATGGCCTGCAAACCTGCATTGACGGGCCGTGCCAGCTCGGCCGGCGACAGCACAATCGAACCATCGGCCCCGCCGCCGCCGTAGCCAGCGCCGGTGTCCCAGGCAGCCGCGTCGTGGAAGCCCAGACGGATGGCGCCGCGGGCGAGGGGCGAGCAGCCGCCCGAGGCCGGGTCGCTAAACAGAGAGTACATGTCGAGCATAGCGTACTTGTGGACGCAGCAGGCGTCGGCTGTGCAAGCATCCGATCCCAGGGGGCCCGGCGCATCGTACTCTGGAATTCCGTCGCCAAGCGGCTGGCCGCCGTTGCCCGACAGGACGGCCTTGATATTCGCGCCAACAGGCGTGAGGGCCGAGTCGGGCAAGTTGGCAAGATCGCCGAGGATGGTGGTCGAGCCCAGAAAGCCGGCCGGGGCGCGGGCCCCGAGCTGGCTCTCGTGGCGCTGCATCTTCTGTAAATCGGCCAGCAGCCTGCCCATACCGGGGTACGCTGTAACCAAGTGGCCGGCAGCCAAAAGTTGGAGGACGGAGGTGGTAAGCGACCTCATCGTAGTAAAGAATCGTGAACAGGAGCTTGAAAAAAGAAATTGCAATGGGTACGTATCCGAGGAGGCCTTTGTCGTATCGTGAACAAAAAGAAGCTTTCTCGAGTCGCTTCTATTTATTCGCTTGTTATGGTATCCCAAGTCGCGTTGCTCTGTACTTTTGTGTGTCGTGATTAGTACTCGTGGCTCGTGACCGACTGTCGTTACTTGGATGTTCCATCGTTCCATGTCATCTCGTCGAGAGCCAAGCATCGGCATTCATATATACACAAGACCACCACCAGATATGTGTCTGGATGCAGCTGGTTTCTGAGGCAAACTCGACGAGCATGACAAGGTGGCAGACGAGACATGGCGGGCCAGCCCTTTGAAGACGTGATGCAGTCATCAGAAAGGAGGCTGAACAGCTAATACATTGATGAAACGGGCATCTACGTGAGGTGATTGGGTACATCGTCTGCAAGCTGTGGTTTTTCTAAGACAGTGAGGTTGGGTATGGCATACATCTTGTAAAGATTGTAGTTGATTATATTATTTTTTGTGTTGACAAATAAGGGAACGACGTTTATAAATAACGTTGAATGCCAAATAATAATCCAAAAAAAAAGAAAGAAAGAAAGAAAGAAAGAAAAGAGGTTCAGTAAGCAAATAAAGGCCTCGAGTTCGGCCCCGACATCTGATGTCAATACTTAAACAATTAGGCCACGAAGGCGCAGACAGCCTTCAAAGATATAACTAGCGTGACCGGTAAATCCTTCCTACCTATTAATGCTTCTGTTTGTTGACATCGTGATGTGGCGGCGGCAGATTAGTGATGTGGCTGAATCGCCCAAGAGCTGTGTCGTGAGAAAGACGGCGGGCCAGCCAGCCAAACCGCCAACTTTGGTAGGCATAGCCGGATAAATGAACCGCAACCACCTAAGCTTCACAAATCATTAACCCCCCCTCCAGATGCAATGTATTGCTTTATGCGTTGTCACACAGAAGACAACAGTGTTTTGATTCAGTTGCTCAAACTAGCCAGTTTCCTTCACATAATGGCGCTTTCCTATCTGGACACGGCTTGTATCCTGCAGTTATATCGAGCCTTCCAGTGCCCAAGCCTGCGGTGGCTGGCCCAGCTGCACAGACCGAATGCTCTGGGAATTCATCACTGGGGAAAATAAAGGGACGTTATTGTCGTTCTCTATTTTTTTTTTTTTGGCTACATGATCGTACACTTCGTTTTTGTTTTGGGCGGCGGCATATCCAAGCCACCTCTACCCGCCCCTCCCAGTTTCTTTCCCACACCCGGTAAAAATCTACACAACCCGACCGCTGAGCACCACCTTCTTGGAGGCTTCCTTGGCCTTCTTTTCGGCCTTGGCCATCTTCTTGGACGCCTTGCCAGTGTTTTTGTTGGACTTATCCGCCGAAATCATGTGCTGCTGCCGTGCCAGCTCTCTGTCTATCCGCAGCTGCTCGTCCCGCTTCTTCCTCCGGTGCCGCAGAATGGCGTGGCGGCTGCCGTAGCGCTGTGTGCCGGGCGTCTTGCCCTTGTGCGTGCCCATCAGACGGCCAATCTGGAAGTTGGATTCGCGGTACTGGTAGTTCTTGCCCACGAACAGCACGCGGTTCGACCGCTTGATGCGAATGTACGCGTTCCACCGGCGTGCTGCCCGTGCCGCCTTGGTCTCGCCACCCTTTTGGTATTTGGAGCTGGAGCTGGAGGGCTCGTTGGCGGCCGCCTCGGCCGCCTCCACAGCCGCCACATCGGGGTTCTCCTGCGCCTCGGCGCCGTCGGATGGCTCTGCACTGGCCTCAATGACGCCCGCCCGGCGAATCACACGCCGCGGGATGCCACTCCGCGTCAAGGGCTCGAACGTGGGCTGGGGCTTGCGGGGCACGGCCACCATGCCGAGCCGCCGCTTGCGGGCGGCGTGAGGATGGTACGGCAGGGTATCGTTGCGGTTAAAGGTGACCCCAATGTACTGGCGGTCAGGGTGCTTGTAGGGGTCGCGGTAGTACTTGACGTAGCCGGCGACGGCGGCGTGGATGGTGTGGTCGCGGCCGAGGATGGTATTTTCGCCGGGAAACCAGAGCGTGCCGCGCTGCTTGTAGATAATTGTGCCGGGCAGGACGTATTGGTCTGAAAAAGGTTAGCGGTGACAAGCACTGCGGTTGGACATCACGACTCGGCGCAACAACCGGAACTCACCCCCTACGCGCTTGGCGCCCATCTTCTTGGGGATCGTCTTCTTGAACGTCACCCGGTAAGCGCCCTGCGCCTTGACGGACGCAAAACGCTGGCCCTCGACGGCGGTATTGGCAGCCAAAAGACTGCTGCTGCCAGTTGGTGCTGCCGTCGCCGTTGAAGCCGTGATTAATGGCGTCGCTGTTGGCCGCTTCACGGCTGCCCGGATGGGCAGCCGCAGCTGCATAAGACGCATTGGTTTCGTGGTCGGGACCAATGGGTCGCGTGGAGTCCGCTCGGGAGGGAGGTTGTCGTCGGACGTCGTCGTGGTCGCAAACGCAAACGTTCAAAGAGATCAATCCAATCGCCAGAGGTTTGTTTTCTCGGGTAGACTTAAAATTTCAAAGAGCACCAGCTGCACGTGACCTTCCAATTGCAACGTCGATTTTTGGCCACTTCCAGTGAGCTTTTTAGACTAGCGTGGATTGGAACTCGAACTCTAGCCATGCCAACTAGACTAGAGATGTCTACTTGTGTCTCTGTCACGAACGTCGAGAAAAGTGTCGTTGAAAGCATTGTAAAATTTGTAGAATGGAATTGCTCAAAGTAAGTGATTTGTCTAACCCTTACTGTGCTCCTGCCATGAGCTTGAACTCAGAGTATCCATGATTACCTAATACACTTTTTCTCTGAGCGGTTCTCTGTTGTATTTGGCCATTTATGCGGGGCTCCACATTTTCCAGGGGTCTTTTACGCCTGCCGTTCTGGCCAGCTGGCTCACTGAGCTGGTCTTATGCACCTCAGCCTTTCGTTGGCGCTACGTCAATCATCAAACCTCTTCGATTTGACTTCTATCCACATCGATCGCGTGTCTCAACCACGACTCAGACAACGCCCTGCACCTACCGACGGACATCGTTACTGCCTCTCCCATAGCCACCATGTTTGCACGCTCCGCCCTCTTCGCCTGGGCGCTGACCCTTCTCTATGCGCATGTCGCTTTTGCGCAGTTTGGCTTCTTCGACCAAATGTTCGGCGGCGGTGGCGGCCAGCAGCACAACGACCCGCAGAACGTGCCGAGCGACTCGGCGTGGTACCGGGGCAACGTTGAGAAGATGCACTGCGACAAGTATCTGTGTCCAGACACCTTGGGTAGGTCTTTCGATTTCTTCCCCTCTTGTAATATACTACATTGTCCACGGCCTTCTAACTGCTTTTGCAGCGTGTGTCCACTTTGCCCACCACTGCCCGTGCCCGTTCCCGAGCATCGAGGACAAATTTGAGCTGGCCGAGGGCAACCGGCTGTGTGTGTCGCGCGGTGGATTCAAGGAGGGCGAGGCGGCGCGCAAGATTGAGCTGGCACGCAAGGGTATGCTGTAAAAGAGAAGGAGAGAACACGCGTAAGGGACATATACGGAGTCAACGTTTTCGTATGGCTATACATTTCATAGCGAAAGGGCTTGCATAATAGATTTCTACAAATACAGGAATTGCATGGTTGCAGGGAATATGAGAGAAGAATAAAAATGCCGTGAAATTCCACCACAATTAGAGCTTTCCACGGACAGTATCGGTTGCCGCGTCTCTCTAAAAGTAAATGCAAAGGATTCATCCTATGTCATGACACCAGGGTCTTTATTGTCAGTCATCGTCGCTGTCGTTGTTATCGTCGTCGTTGTCATTGTCGTCAATATGGTTCGCCCCATCATCATTTTCTTCGTCTTCTTCCTCCTCATCTTCAGAGTCGCCCTCTTCGTCTTCATCATCGCTGTCTGCGGGAGGAATTTCCACCTTGGCAGTCTTTGCGAGTTTCAAAAGGAACGCTCTCATAGGCTCGGCCTGCCCGGCGTTGTGCTTGCACGACGTGGCCCCGTCAAAGAGGACAGGGTCCGAGAAGGACACGTTGACACTGGACAACTGACGTGGGTTGTCAATGGAGATTTCGCGGAGCCTGTTGGCCAGTGGGTCGAGAGCCAGTTCTTCCAGGAAGCCCGTCCAGATGGCTGCCGGGTAGGTCGTGTTGTCGGGGTCGCCAAGTGCAATGTTCCACAGGGACAGTGAGTTGAGCAGCCGTATGCGGCGGAGCAGGCGGAGCAAGTGTGGTACGGACAACTCGCTGTGGCCTAGTTCGAGGCGCCGCAGCCCTGGTGGGAGGGTGACGGACGGAGAGGGGGTCGGGGAGAACAATGAAGACGACGAAGACGATGAAGACGGAGACGTTAGAAATGGATACCAATCTGGCAACGGTTTGCCTAGATAGGAAATAAAGACGTCGGCACGGCGCATCTTGCAGTTTTGCAGGTTGAGGCGCAGCCACTCGACGTTGATGGCCTGTGCCAAAAACGCGTGGAAGGGTAGACTGGCGATGCTAACATGCTGGTGCCGTGTTCCCCCAGCTAAGAACGCTAGCATATGGTTGAAATTCGGATCCGTGTGGAAGTTGACGTCTAGTTGCAGCTGCTTCAATCCCGACACAACGGCTAGCATTGGCGCGGGATTGGTGCCCGGTGCTACGGTCAGATCAAAGGCTCGCGCTGTCAGGCCAAAACGGCGCGCACGCAGCATCACTTGGAGGTTTGATGGCCGCACGCCGGCCACAGCATTGGCTTTGGCGAGGGCGGCTAAGATGATCGAAAACGTCTCCGAAGCAAAGGTGACATCGTGCCGTAACCATCCCTCGCCCACCTCTTTGCCAACCGTGGCATAGCCGTAGCTGTGCCAGGCCCGCGAGGGCCCGTCGCGGAAGCGCGTGCGCGAGTCAAAGTCGCGTATGTCGACGGTCTGGAGATTCGGTAGGTTGGCGAAAGCCGCCGCCAGCATGTCCACGCCCCGGCCGGTGCACGTCAGAGACATTTGCTGGCCCAGGGCAATCTGGAACAAGACTGTCTTTTCTTCCGACTCAAATTTCTCGATGAGCTTGTTCGGGAACCTGTCAAGGCCAAAGGAGACATGCTGCAACGTTTGGCTCAGAGTCGGGTGCTGGGAAATGTCCAGGAGTGCCTGCAGACTGAAGTCCGTGAGCATGAATTGCTTGCGGCGGAAGAATTCGTGGCTGAAGGAGTGGAAAAGGGCGCGCTCGATGGTGCGTGAGACCAGGCGGACGGTGCAGAGGTCGGTGGTCGAGAGGTGCCGTGTGATGCGGAGGAGCATCTCGATCGGCAGCCTCTCCAGGGGCTGCAAATAGTTGTCTAAGGCGATGTCCATGATGGCGGTTTGTTGGCGAATATAAAATTTGGAAAAGAAAAGGAAACGGAGAAACAAAACACGAGAAGTGAAGCTATTCGCAAAGTCCACCTACACCACAAGTGACGATGACAGAAGATGAAGCGAGAAAGCACTAAACGAAAGGATGCAGAACATCAGCATGAACATCAAACCATCATCAACATGTCTGCATGCTGACCTTGGGTTGAGCGCAGCGAGCTCTGTCGTTTTGTATTAATGAACGGCCACTGGATTCGCTCAATGGAAGTTTGGCGCTCGGCTGCCTGCAATAACGTTGCAAACGGTGGGGACGTCGGGGGTAAAGGTGGGCTTGGTGCCTAAACAGTGACAAGGCTGACAGAGGGGCTGGATCCCCGCAGTTGGTGTTTGTTTACAGCACGCTTCGTGCGTTCTAAACGACTGGGCAAGAGTGCAAGTTAGTTGCACTTTCCGTAAACAAAAACCAGGTTTGGATAGCCACACAGAACAGGGGAAAAGCTTCGTGGTGCAACCGATTTGTCCCACACTCTAAATATCAGACATTGTCAATTGCTAATTGTCAAGGTACCCAAACCAACGAACACGCTTATGCAATCGATTACCGCAAAATGAGACAAAGGAAACCACTCGAGGAAACACCAAGAACACGTAAAACGCCCCCAGCCGACAGCCAATCACACATATGACCCCGGGACACGGATGGTGCTGTAGTCATCCCAGATCGGCTCTTCGCGCTTGTTCGACGCTTTAAGGTCCTGGATGGCCTTGTTAAACATTTTTCGACCTCGGATGGGCCGCGGCGGCGGCGGCCGTGCACCCATGGGCACCGGCACACTGCGGGTCCCGTCCGACCGTTCGCCGTTGGTGCTGCCTCCACTGCCACTACCACCGACACCGCTGTCATCCACAGTCTGCTCTTCTTCCGCAATGGTTCCGTTTCCATGCAGGCTGTTGATGTAGGCCGTGTACGAGTGCATTCGCCCGGCCTCGTACAGCGGCCGTGTGCCCATGACACCAAACGCCGGCGGCGCATGGCTCATGTTGGCCATGGGCGCCGCGCTGTAACGGGGAAACCCGCTGGCCGACGTTCGCGACAGCGGCGGTCGTGGCGGCATGGGCGTCATCATGGGAACGGGCCCGGGGCTCGGAATTTGGGCCGTGGACGACATGTACGTCGGCTGAGGCGGGTAAAAGTGCTCCATGGGCGACGGCACGGGCAGGATGTACGAGCCAGCGGCAGGAGCGAAGCTGTTCTGGTGCATGGGCGGCGGGGGCGGCAGTTTGATGGATGAAGGCTTGGCGGCGCCCTCGTCGACGCGGCTCCAGAGCTCCTGACGCTCAACCAGGGTGCTGCCGGAGCTGGGCATGGCAAAAGGCTCATTGGTGTAGGACGGCACGGAGGGCGGCGGGCCGAGGGTGCTGGTGGAGACGTTGGGGTCGTCGCTGGTTTCGCGGATGGTGACGCGTGCTTTTCGTTTTCGTTTGGATGGGATGGGGGCAGGGGGCGGGGCGGGCTCTTCCTCTTCCTCGTCGTCGTCGTCCTCCTCCTCTTCGGCTTCCTCTTCGCTCGATGTTCGGCTTGGGATGCGTCCTAATGCGCCGCCACCGCTCTCACCACCACTGCTTGACGCAGCATAAGGGTGACCCGAGATGCCATCACCCAGTATACCGTCAATCAGGGCTTTTGCGGCGGACGTCTGGCCCTCCGGGATGGGCGGTGTGATCCAGGGGAGCACAAACGGCTGCAAGGTGCGCTCTACCACAACCTCCACAATGGTCATGTCCAAGCAATTGATGACGGCCGCGGCCAGACCTGCTTGTAGTGGCGTGGTAGACGATCCACCGGCCGCCGGCCGCGTGCTCAAAGTAATGGCCGAGGCCAGCAGCGACACGGACCACAGCACAATGGTGATGCGGCCCAGCACAATGATCTTGGTGTGCCGCGGCGTTCGGGCGCGGTTGTTGCTGCCCTCAAAGGGATCCGGCCGGCGCGAGACCAGCATGTAGCAGATCATGTAGACCAGGCCAAAGATGCACGAGATCATGACCAGACTCTCGGTGAGACCAATGGCTTTGGCATTGACGACAATCGTGCCGCCAAGCTCGAGGCCCGACACAACCAGGCCGATGAGGATCATGAGCAGGTTGAGCCCGAAAGAGGCCATGACAATCTTGGGTAGCGGCAGCCATGGCGGCGTGGTGATGGGCCCTGCCGCGGCCGACGGCTTCCAAGAGGTGAGTGGCCACTTGAAGCGATATTTGAAGGAGGCACCCTTGTCGATGTCGTCTCTCGCCATACGGAGAAGAATCGTCGGCTACTTTTGTCGACGGCTTTGTCGACGGTTTGCCGGAGTTTGTCCAATGCTTGGACGGCCCGATCTGGATGAGAGTGCCTCGTCGTATTCATGTGGACATCGTGATGATGACAAGAGCCGTAATTCTCGTGATGCACAGGAAAGGTGAAGCTTCGTTGTTCAAACCAAACAACGCCGGCAAAAGGACGCCCTACTCATGACAAACGAAAGAGAACGCACAGTTCCCCTTACTAGACATCTCGTTTACATTCCATAGTCGTTTCGGCGTGCGATTTGGCAGCCGGGCAACGGAGTGAAACAGCACATGCCAGACGTCGAGATACCATCCGGCATTTTGGGGACTGACGCACGGCACATTCCAGGCTTATTAAGGGAGGAACAAAAAAAGCGATATGTCGTCATCGCATCGTTTGCGACATGGCCGTTGTGAAATCATACCCTCGGAAAGCCTTGAAGTATTCGTCGTATTTTTTTGAATCAATTACAGAGGGCTTCAAGGTGTGAAAACATCGCCAATTGACATCTGCTGGTGTCGTTGGACTTGGTTGGTTGAATGTGTAGCAAATCGCGGCCATACGAATACGCCGTCTTCAAAACAATACGCCGTCCAGACCAGGGCTTAGGCCCGTTTTCGGTCAGTCGGCGGCAACCGTCAAGGAGTCGTGTCGTGTCAGTGTCGGCTGCCGCTGGCTCCACCGGCCGCACCTGCATATTGGCACTGATCCGCGCCAGAAGAGAGCATATTACGGAAAATTCGCAAGGCGCTGTCGACCACTTACAGCTGTTGCTTCCGAGCATGACTCGTGCTGCGTTGCAGCGTGCATGCACATAAACGGCCTGGTTCTGTCTTAGTGAGAGGCCGCTGGGGCCGCTGGGGCCACTGAGGCGTGCCGCTCCCCTCCTTCCCGATTCCGTCTTTCAGCAAGTCGTGGAAGCGCACATGCGCTAACCGGGTGGCGGCCTCGCTCCTTCCCTCCATTGTCTCTGGTTTTCACAGGGCCAGGCCCCGCATATTTTGCCCACTGATAGGCTCTAATTACAGGCGATGGGGCGCAAAGCGCTCTTGCCGTTGCTGCTGAATTCTTGCCAAGTCTCCTTCCATAGAGAGCAAGTCGCCAACAACGCCGACTGCCAGCCAAAATTCCTCATCGACTTGGATCTCGTCACAAAATCAAAGCCTCGCACACAAACAGCAATTGACCGCTCAGCACCCCCGGTCTCCGCCCACCTCCTCATTTCTTTTTGACACGCACGCCTCACGCTGCTGGCTGCCCCTCTCTCAGAGTCTTACCCGCCCTCGTCCTCGGCCGCTCCGACTCCCGCCTTCTGCCTCCGACTTCCGCTGGCCGTTTTTATCTTCCCGGAATATCTCCGCCGGAGCATGGACGTCGACCTGTGCTCGTGAATGGAGACACCAACCACGGCGGCAGCAGCAGCCACGGCGGCGGGAACGGCGGTGGTACCCGCTGCGGTATCGACTACGGCCCCGGCTACGGCACCGGCCACAGAGGCGCCGGATACAACAACAACAACGACGACGACCTCCGCCGCCGACCTCTCCAGCAAAAAGGTGTCTCAGACATGCGTCACATGCCGCGCGCGCAAGGTGCGCTGCGACGGCCGCCGCGACATTTGCTCCAACTGCGAACGCCTCGGCTTCCCCTGCTCGTTTGACGACACGGCTGTCGTAGTGAACGCTGATGCAAAAGGGCAACACGGCGGCGCCGACGGCGCTCTTTCGGCAGACGCCAACAACAACAGTGCAAGGGTCGCCTCAACTACAGCTACCGCATCGGACCCACTGCTGGCGATCCCGCGGCGACGCGCACGACAAGCATGCCAGAACTGCCACTCTCGCAAGGCCCGCTGCTCCGGCGGCACGCCGCAGTGCGACCGGTGCCGCACGCTGGGCATCGAGTGTGTCTATCGGCCAGGCAAGCGCACACGCATGAGCCCTGTGCTGTCTGGATCGATTTCAGGCGACCGTGACCGAGACAACAACCGCGACAGTCGTGGCGAGCCGCCATCACAGCAGCATGGCTTTGAGCGCGGCCTCAGCGAGTCCTCCGACCACATGGACGATGTGCCCATGGGCGGTGCCGGGCCTGGAGGCCACGCGGGCCATGCAGGCGGCCTCGGACGCCATGGTGGGCCGTCATCGGCGTCGACGGGCGGCGCGGGCGTCGACACCACCCTGCTGTCGACCCGCTCGTGTCCCAGCGACGTGCTCGAGGCGCTGGCCATGCGCACATTTGACCAATTCTTTCGCCACATCCACCACATTCCCACCTTTGCCTTTCTGCATCGCGCCTCGCTCATGCAGCGGTACCGAGCAGGGCTCGTCGACCGCCCATTGCTGCTCGCTCTTGTCGGCATCACGTCGCTTATGACGGATCTGGGCCCCGGCACGCGCGAGCTCGGCAAGCAGTGCATCGCCGAGGCCGAGGCGCTCGTGCTCAGCCGTCTGGACCGGCCGTCGACGCTCGGCCTGCAGACACTTGTCTTTGTCATCCACCACCGCGTGCTGTCGGGCCGGTTCTCGTCGGCCTTTATGCTGCATGGCGTGGCCTCGCGGTTCGCGTCGGCGCTGCGACTCAACCACGAGAACCCCCGGCTCTGTTTCCTGGCGCGCGAGTCCCGCCGTCGCCTCATGTGGGCGCTGTATATGATCGACTCGAGCATGGCCAATGGATATGCCGACTTTAGCCTGTGGGCGTACCGTGCCGACGACCGCGCCGACGTCATGAACATCCAGCTGCCCTGTAACGAGCGCAATTTCGAGTTTGACCTACCCGAGCGCACCGAACCCTTGCGCCCACCACCCCGCCTAGCCGACGGCAGCCTGCCCCCACTGCCGGACGACATTGGCTTTTTGGCATTGCATGTGCGCATTCGCTCCATCCGCGGGCGCATCCTGCAGTACACCAAGGACGTCACGTCGAATCTGAGCACACCGCCGCCCTCGTCGCCGTCGACGGCCATCGACGAGAACGTGACCGCTTTTAATGTGGCCTCCATCCCAGGCCGCGTCGCCGAGATCGCCGCTGAGCTCGACGACTTTGCTGCTCGGCTGCCAGTCAGTTTCCGCTGGTCCGAGGGCAACGTGCGCCTGCGCACCTACTCACCACGTCTGTGCGTGTTCTTGATGACGCACGTCTGGTGGGAGCAGTGTCACTGCGAGCTGTACCGTCTTGCTCTTGTCGGCCTCCAGGAAGCCCTGCCGGCGCCGTGCATCGCGCAGCTCGAGCACCAGTTCCCCACGTGGGTGCGCCACTGCCGCGAGCAGGTCCTGGAGCACGCCAGCGCCATGGCCGACATGTTCCGGCTCGTGCTGACACTCGAAAACGGTGTGCCGGCCACCGATTTGGATTTGCCCATTTGCCTGTACCAGTGCGTCCGCCTGCTCTTCTACATCAGCCGCACCAACCCAGACGACCCGCAGGCCGTGCCGCACGACTCGTTCCTCGAGCTCGCAGGCGTGTGCACGCAGGTGCTGGAGCGGACCGTCACCACGCCGGCGACGATCCGCATCCGCGCGAACCTGCAAAAGCTCATGACACAGGGGCTTAGCACCGCCAACATTGCACCGAGCGGGCGCAGCACGCCGGAAGTATTGCACATGGAGACGGAGGACGACATTTCGACCATGATGCGGCAGCCGGGGCGCAACGGAAATGGAAATAGCAACGGAGTTGCATCCGCCACGATAGCTGCCGCCGCCGCTGCAACGGCCACAGCCGCACCCAGTCCCCTGCTGCCCGGACTCAGCCAACGGGCGGCCGCTTCAGCAGGGCCACCGCCGTACGCCCAAACACAGCAGCAACCGCAGCAACCGCAGCCTCCTCAACAGCTCGCACAGCACCCACACCAGCTGCAGCAGCCAGTTTCCCTTCCGGGCCTGTCCAATGCACCGCCAGTCATGTTTGACGCCTTTGACAACCACATGGCGGCAGCAGCGGCGGCGGCCGCAGCAGCTGGCCCAACTGGCGTTCCCGGTGCACCCACATCCGCATCCACAGCAGGCGCAGCAGGCGGCATGGGGCTGACCGGCCTGCCTACCACGTCCGGCGCAGCGCCGACGCCGGCTGGTGTCAGCGGTGTCAGCTCTACCAGCTCGCCGCAGCCCAGCCTGGCTAGCCACCAACCGGGCGCCGCGCTCGACGCGTTTGATCTCGATGTGGACAATTTCGGGTCGACCGATCTTGGCGGCTGGTTCTCGGGCGACTGGGTGACGAACAATGAGTTTTCGACGTAGGAGCCTGTGGAAGGGAAGGGAGCACAGTGTTGTCAATGTATTTTTGTTTCTTAATTTCACGTTTATGATCTTGCGAATGGGAGGGAGCCTTTGCCGTATTATTTTGGGAGGTATTTTGTTGGATTTTGGACAACAACGAGAGCAATAATGTCGAAACGTAAGGGCCTTGGAAGGGAGATGCAAAAATATTGACTTGGAAGGAGTGAATTGCAGGTCCCATATATTCAAACTGCTAGATAAGATTCTAGTTCTAGATCGCGTGTCTGATGTTATTGGATTACTTCCTGATTTTATTTCGTTCCCTTTGCAGCGCGCGACTCGGCACATGGACCCCCAAACTTACAGTGGACCAGTGGACCATAACGGCAGTCGGGCGGCTCCGGTTTGTCAAATTGGCGAATGAGAGAGTGGCAGCAGGTAATAAGAACTCACCAAATCGAGGCAACTTTGGGGGTACACCGTTGTCTGCCTCCTTTAGTGGCACCGATTTGCCAAAGGAGCTTGTCCCAGAATGTCCTGAAACGGGCGAGAAAGACATGTTGGGCACTGATCTGACCAACAGGCGTCGTCGTATCGTGGTGTCGTAATTGCTGAAGAGGATGTCGTGATTGCTTTTTGGTGGGTCCCCTACGATGCAGCTGCAGGTTACTTACAGGGGCGGCAGCACCCTCTCGGGGAGCCACCGGGAGTGACCCGTAGTGTGGGACAGAAGGAAAGCTTCTTTTGTCAGACCGCAAACGTGGAGGTTCAAGACGCCTAGACGGACAGGACATGGCATGCCTGCCCAGTCCAAAAGTGATTACTTTGACTTCTGTTGCTTTAGTTTGAAACAATGAGAGAAAGTCAAATTGCCACCGAAAAAAATGCTAATGCAGAACGCAGCCATGCCATAACGTTGTCGAACAAATAAATACAAATATTAAACCAAGACAAACAGACGTCGAGTCCGCTTTGACTTGATGCTGAATGGCTCCCTGTGCTGTTGGCCACGTCCTCGAAAAACTATGTACACCCCGGTATTAGAGTCGCCTAATGCAATGTTCTGTCGTCGCTTGCCTGTTGTTTCCTCTTCTAACGCATCTCCCCTCACCGAAGCAGAGGTGTCTGCTCCCCAGCAGCGTCTGCACCGTCGTCGCCGCCCTCGCCGCCCTCGACACTATTGCGATCGTCGTTGTCGTCCACAAACCCGAGCTGGTGCTCGCGGTAGATCCAGCCAATGCACAGGCCCGCACCGGGGCCCAGCACCACCGACGCGCCCAGCACCACCGCCACCACACGCCAGCCCGCCTCCACCAGGATCCAGTACAGGACCGTCAACACGATGAAGACGACGTCGATTTCGATATACTGCAGTGTCGAGCGCGTCATCTCCTGGCGGTCGTCGGGCCGGCCCGTCACAAGAAGCCACAGGACGAGCCCGTGGGAGAGCACCGAGCACAGCAGCGGCACAGCGTAGACCGCCAGCAGTGCGGGGGTGTGCGACTCGAGGTGCAGCGTGCGGCCGGGGCGGTGCTGGCCCGCCGATTGGATCACAAAACGCACGCCCTGGCGGATGAGCGAGACGTAGACGGGGAAGAAGAGCCACACGGCGATGGCGACGGGGTGGTCGGTCACGAGCATGGCGAGCGACGGCACGCCAAACCCGAGCGCAACGGCCACGGGGATGGCCACGACTTCGGACACGACGGCCAGGTGGCGCTTGTCGCGGCCCGTATTGGGATTGG